CGCGGGATGGGCGGGCCGCGGCGGCTCTGCGCGTCGGCGCTGCTCCGAGGGTTGCCCGAGCCTGCCCCGGGAGCTGCCTGCGCGCCCCGGGCGTTCGGGGCCCCCGAGGGCTGTGCCAGGCTGTCGCTGAGGGACGCCTAGTGTATTCGCAGCCACAGTGTGTTTCGAGGGTGTTAGACTTCACACCAGAAAAAAACTGCACTGTAGCAGTGATTCCCAGATAACTGTCTACGACGACGGAAAGACTTTTGCATAGAGAAAAGCTGGTGACACCGTAGAGAGTGGGTATTGTGTGTTTTTAAGCCACTCCGTTTTTGTTTTGAAAAGCTACACCAGGCCCGGTGTGGTGGCGCACGCCTGTAATCCCAGCTTTCTGGAGGCTGAGGCAGGAGGACTGCCTCCAGTTCAAGCCTAGCCTTGGCTATGAGTGAGTTCAAGACCAGAGGGAACTTGAACTGCATGAGGAGACCCTGTCTCAGGAAAACAAACCACATCTGAAGAATTTGTGTACAAGTATATTTACTGAAGTGATACCAAAAAAAAATTTTTTTTTTGTATTTTTAGGGAAGGGCCTACAAGCGTGTTCAGGGTCTCACTACTAGATCAGACTTGTAATGATCCACCTGTTTATAACCTCCCAAGAGCTGGGATTACAGGCGCCCACCACGACGCCCAGTCTCAATCACTGTCCCAGTGCGACCCCAGGGCAGAGCCAGCATGGCAGGCCCTGAATCAAACCCCGGCCCCTGTGCCTACTTGCAGGCGCTTTAATCCGCTGAGCTATTTGGCCGGCTCTGATACTTACAAAAATTTAAAAATTATAAACTGAATTTCCAATAACAGGTAATAAAAGAGCTTACAGTAGCTTTGTATAGTGGAAAAACGATGCAGTGGTAACAAACATGTTTTCAAGAGCTATAAGTTTGCTTGTGTTATAATTAAGTAAAATAATCACGAAACAACGTATATACATGGAGGGATATATGTATAGAAGAAATAATGAAAGGAAATATACCATAATATCAATAAATAGCATTGGGTGCCAGGATTGGGTGAAATATTTTTTTTATATTTTTTGTATGTTTTTCAGGTTTAACTTTTTTTTTTTTTTTTTGTGGTACCCGGGATTGAACTCAGGCCCTTGCCGGTTTAACGTTTTATAACCAGGAGAAAGGTTATTTATTTATTTATTTGAGACAGGGTTTCACTATGCAAGTCAGGCTTGTCCTGAACTTACTGGGTAACCAGGCTGGCCTGGAGGTTGAAGTGATTCTCCTGCCTCAGCCTCCCAAGTGCTGTACTTACAGGCATGTGCCACCTTGTCCGGCTAGTTTCATTTTATATACCCCATGACTGAAAAACTAGTACTGTATTATGACCATTTTACATTTGATTTTGAAGATTGGAGAAAGCCAGGTCTGTTAAAGGCAGTGAAGAATATATAAATTATTGTGCCATTAGTCACCTCGTGTGACCACTGAGTTTTTACAAGAGCTTATGTTATAGTTTGCGTCTTCAGTGTCCTCCAGCTGATAGCACTGGGAGAAAGTTTAGGAGGTGGAGCCTGGGGGGAAATGAGGTCACAGCCCCCCCACCTCCGCCTTGAAGGGGATGGGGAGGTCAGCACCTCCTCTACCCGTGAGCTGCCAGGCAGTGAGCAGCCCAGCACTACCCGCACTCCTCCTCACACTTTTCTGCCCGGACTAAGCCCCCATGATAGAGCCTCTGAAACCCCAAGCGGGAATAAGTCTTGGCTTTTTTCAGGTGGTTTGTCTTAGGTGTTTTGTCACAGCAGCAGAGAGCTAACACAGATCATTCTTGAAGTGCCTGGATTTAATTTTAAAAATCAAATGGGCATGGGGCCGGGGAGATGGCTCAGTAGGATAAGCGCTTGACTGGCAAATGCAAGGATCTGAGTTCCATCCCTGGTTCCGCAAAAGAAAAGAAAAAAAAAAAAAATCAAATGGGCAAGTACACATGAAATGCTGAAAATGTTTATTTTGTAGAATGAAGAACTGTTTTAAATTTTTATGTTTGTACTACATTTTAAGCAGGTCCTTTTATCAAAGTTTAGGAAAATAACATTTTAATATGACAATTGTGTTTTAATGTGTAATTACATGTTAATATGTATAACATATTACTTAGGTCATGTGTAATTCTGCTTAATGGAATAATAAAACCAATTACTTGAAGACATAGGTAATAAGTAGGTATCTCATTTCTGAATTACTCTGATGAATGAATAAGTATCTTTCAAACTTTTTTCTAATTTTTTAACATTTATAGTATTTTCCATTAAACATTTTCAGTCAAAATCTATAATTTCTTAGACTCCTCATTATTCACAGTGATATTTTTAAATGAATAAAAATATTTAAGTTATAAACCAATAAGGTATTTATACTTTTTTTTTCTTTTGTTAGGCCGAAGATGCTGAGGAGGCTATGAGTAAATATCTGTTAGAAAAGTTAAAATTGAGAGACAAATGGCTTGGAGTTTGGAAGACTAATCCTGAGCTGTTTTTTGTGAAATATGAAGAAGCTTCTATCCCTTTTGTTGGTATACTGGTCGAGGTAAAACCTTTTA